CAAAAGCTCGACGCACCACACTACACTAAAAGATGCACGCTACCGTAACCCTAAATTCAGACGCCTAGTTTTTGAAAGTTTCTTTTCCTTTCAAGAGTTTTTCTTCCGTGTTTTTGTTGTTTTTCGTATTCTTTTCATTGCATTGGATGATACCCACTACTGGGAGATGTGATAAAGGAATTTGTGAGCCAGGGGTTGCACAGAGACCGCAGGAAGGTGTGACTGCCAGGGAGCGATTTTGTTTATGGTGTTCTTGAGGACTCTTCTTGCTTTTTTTCTTCTTTGGGAATTACTTATCAGCTACTGTTTCATAATTGAAAGCAACTATCCATGACACTTCATCGCGGGAGCTGTCTTTAGGGTTCCATTCAGTGGCGAAGTTTGGCGATGTGGACGGGGGCATTCTGCACGTTCGCTCCCTCACTAGTTCGGTTTACAAGTCTCACTCTGGTGAAACCTTGTGAACTCTTGTGAATCTGGAGCAAGCTCGTCTAGCCACCATGAGGGAACCTGTCAACTCATGTAGGCTCACGAAATGGCTCTCTGGATAGGTGGACATCGATGAAAGTAACAAAACTGCAAGATGTCTCCCCCTTCGTCACCGAACTGCCCCCGTTTAGCTATCCGACAACTGCTCTTACTGCGAACTGCTGTTGTTTTCATTAAAAAACATACCGAGTGCATTTCGCTTGTTCACTTTGTCGTAACCAGCCATCCTGACATTCTTCACAATGCCATCCTTCCATTCGTTCGTTCCTCTCTTCGTCAAGACATCCTTCACACTCGCAGAAGAAGTTGTAGTCCCTCTACCATAAATTTGCTACACTTTCATTCGGAAGCAAATAGGAAAACAGACTCACCATCAGGATGTCTCGGCGCATTTGCCTCGGCAAAAGGTCACTTATGTACGAATGTCTGGCTTCCTTCAAAGAACGCGGCCTTGTTCGACAAATCAGTCGGTACCATTACTGCCGTGGTCCCACTTAAACAATACTGTAGGTCATGAATCTTCAGTTAATAGGCGTGCCAATTGACTGGACCCTTCGAGACGATTAACGACTACTATGAACCCTGGCAAAGTGTACAGTCTTGTTCGCTTTGGATGAAGCGGCGTGTGAGGATGGATACGGGCAGCGCCAAACTCGTTTTCCACGAACTGGTGAAGGATCTCCACCAAATATTATTGTTTATCCGCTTCAACAACTGGTGGAGAACGAGCTGGCAGCTCGCAAAATCCAGTCTCATTGGCGCGTCCCATCAAGCTTAACGAATAATACTGTACAAAAAATACCCACCGATAAGCGTAGCGCATGTTCGGCTTACAGGAGTGGTCGATTACACTAAGGCGAATACAGAGTGAGATGCCTATGGTCGCACTGTAGTTATTCGTCAAGGAAAAACTGTTCACACATGATATCTTTGCTAACCTGAAAAAAAGACTGGATGAGGAAGCATCTCTGGAAGCAAAAAGCATTTAGAATTAGGGTTAGTGCGAAATAGGAGTTCCAGGACCCGACAAGAAACCAGATTAGATACCATATCCCGACGGATCTGCAGCCTCTGTGCTAAGTTACTGTTTTGTATGAGTCGCAAAAGCAAACAAATAAAGTTTTGGGCAAGGAGCGCCATTAACGTCTATTTATCCCTGCTGCGAGCCAAAGTAGGTATTGTGTACTCCTAGCTCAAGGAACACGAAGCAGTTCATCTATTTCGGTCTCTGATCCACCAGCCATCAAAATTTGTGACAAGTCCAGCCTACCTAATTCTCCATTACTTACCGAAAACACGGCAGTCTTTAGCCTCCGACCTTTGACAGAGTTCTGACTCGGGATTCCTTCCCGCCATTGTGTGAATCGGAAGAATGTACGCATCGTACCCTCATCAGTATTGGATAACTTGAATGCATGCCCACTTGGCCTGTGCACACTCTGGTTCTCTAAGGAGTACCTTATGGTAGGAAGGACTGCAGAGTGAAGAAGGCTACAGCTGGATATTCTTGGAACTCCTTACAGATATCCCTCGATATTCTCGTTAGTTTCACGCCGTCGAGGTTTCCGTTGTTCTTGCCTGATATCTTAGATCACCTGCTCCTATCCAAGACATGTCCTGCCGTAGGCTCGACTTCAGTCCTTCTTGAATAGACGTCCACCCATCTTTTATTTGGAGCCCCTCTGCTACAACTTCCGAGACCAGTGCTTTCCTTATAGGGCCCTCTTCAGACGCTCTCCTCATGCCTCGAAGTCACTGCTCTCTATCCTCAGTTGAACATCACTGCTCTCTATCCTCAGTTGAACAGAGACGCCCGGCACAACCTCTCTCACGTCCTCTTCTCTAGCTCTATTTTGTCGGACCCGACCACAGGCCCATATCAGCATATTCAATTCCGCTGATTACAGCTGCCTCTCATGACGTCATAGGGAACACAGTCGCTGCCGTAAAGCATCTCAGGAGCCAATCTGTTTCCAATGATCACGGTCAGCACGAGTGGTCCTCGGTATTTGTCAAAAACACGTCTGTCATTGTTAACGGTCATATCAGGGCACCTAATAAAGAAAAGGGTTTCTGACATTGCAGCATGAGAATGTAGCATTTTATAAGTCCGCCGCCTAGCAGCAGGAGTGCGCGCACCTGGAGAGAAATGGCTCTGAGACGAATGTACCCCGCGGAATGGATCCATGCAACTCAGGACGTGAGCTGGTCTGCTAATGTACTGACATGCCACGTTCATCATTCGAACGGGCGCGGAAACGAGACTGTAGGGAAAGGTGGATGTCGCTCAAGTCTCCAACGTCTACAAGATGCACCATGCGCGTCCATGGAGCTCTCACAGCTAACAACATGAACGGCAAGCTGTCCGTCGCGGCCAAGTGTAGATAACAACAGCTCCCTAACGAAACGAGAGCCGAATAAGAAGCGTGACTGGATCGGTTAGGTTTATAGCTAGTAGTGCGGCGTGTCAAGTACTGCGCGCTTTGCCTGTAGGTGAGCCCAAAACGGCATACTGTTACCAAACCCTCCAGCCTCGTTTCCACCCAGTTTCGAAAGACTCGCACTTCTGCAGTCGCGGACCCATTATACCTGGCACGTGGCAAAGACCACGTCTCTTAACAGGTTATTTGAACTCATACTGAGTACTGCACTTCAACGTTATCAATTTATCTACACTTGTTCATTAGCGCATGGTAGGACGTGTCACGGAGCTAGATATGGAGCGGCGCCTGGCCCGTGCTCCACCAGTTATTTGAGCAGGCAAGCAACAACAATCGTTGGAAAGCGAGCTGGCGCCAAACTCAGCCTCCCCTCCACCCACCCGCCCCCACATCCGCAGCGAACAAGAGTGACAAAGATGTGTTTGCGAAGAGTCGCTACATCTGGGGAACTTTTTGTGAGCTTAAAGAGTTGAAAGACTCAACAGGGTGACTCGACGAGCTTGCTCCACCAGCAAAAGAGTTCATAGGGCCACCAGAGCAGAGCCCTATGAACTCTTTTGCTGCTGGAGCAAGCTCGTCGAGCTTATGAACAGGAACTAGTGAAGCAGCGAAGTGCAAGATGCTCCCCCCCCCCGTCGCCGAACTGCGCCGCCGTCCTTTCATACAATGCACCCGATATTTACACCGCTAATCAGGAAGCAGGAGCACTGAGCAGTGTTACTGCTGTACTCATATTTACAACGCAGTAACCGTAAATGCGGCTTACCGCTTGACTATATCATCATCGACAATGGTCTTCTTGCAAAAGACCTTGTAGTCCTGTAGAAACTGACAGGCTTTGTCTTCTAATGCTTCTGAATGCTCCTGCAGAGTTGTCAGTGAGCGCTCAACTGAAACAAAAGCATGTGGCAAAGTACTCTAAACGGAAGTCATCTTACCGTTCTCTACCATAGTCTCTCCCATTTCTCCAGCCGCCCATTTCACTGCTAATCGCATTACGAGCCGAACATCTTCATTGGAAACTCCGTTATGCTTCTGCACAAAAAGATTATTGTCATGCAAGCGCCAGGTCCTCATGTTCTGCACAGGCTATTGAGTCAGCGTTCAAACATCGCGTCGGCGCGCGTCACCACAAAGTCTGAACGCTGTCAGAAAGCAGGATCCAATCAGGACGGTTGTATTTGACTGAATGAACCAGAAAGCAAAGAAAACAGGGTGAAAATGGGAGAAACCGACGCAAGAATTCCTTTTTTGTCGGTTTCCTACATCTACTTTGCTTGGTGCTGCGAGAGGTGAGATGCTTGACAGAGGCCTTGGTTACAAGGCACTTTAACAGAACCTATTTTTCTGCGACAGTCTAAAGGCAGTTTTCCCAGCAGGAAGGCTGACGCTCTTTGAAAAAAAAACGAAAAATAGAGAATAGATGGAAAGAAGGAAGGAGAATAAAGGTATTCCGGCTGGCAAATGTTCTGAGGGAAGATCCAAAGTAATACGACAAACCTTGCACGCCGAACATTCATTTCTATGTAAAGGCCAGTCTTTCTTCTGACACTCTGCCGAGCAATAGTAGAATATCTGGCAACCTTTGCACTTCTTCAGATCTGCTCCATCTTTGAGGCATGCGTGACAATACACACGTAACTGAAACGATGAATTTAGTCAATAAAAATCGAGGTTTTAACGCGTAACAGGTGATTCAAACCACACATGTTTCACGGTAAGGGCAAAGCAAATAGGTTCTTCTTCGAATAGTCCTTTGGCAGACGGCATCACTAAATGTGATTCTCAAACTAAGACATGCTCTCAGTAATGCAAAAAGAGCCCTTACAACTTTGCGGGTATATTCCCAGATACCAACAATCAAGACAAACCAAAGCTCCTGAACGTTTATGAATTGGGAACAATAACATCGAATATAACAGCACAATCCTCTTACTATAGTAACAATAACAACATAAATAAATTTCTCAACAGCCAACTAAGGACAAGTCAACAAAATATCCAGATGAGAACTTAAAAGCACGATAAATTACAGAACCCAGTATGGCAAACGGGCCATATCGCACGACGGGAAAATCCCCAGTGGAGGGGAGGTACTTGGTTTCTCGAGGGAGGGGGATCGTAGTTGCTCGTCATTGGGAGGGGGTATCGTATTTGCTTTCCTTCGACAGAATCTTGCCTCATCGCGGAAAAGTTCTTTCCGATTGTGGCTCAACCCCGCCCCGACGACAGACTTCTGGAAAAAACTGGAAATTGTGGGGGGGAGGAGGAGGGGGAGAGAAGAACAGAAAGTTTTGGAAAGTATGGTGAGAAGCTGGGAAATGTTGGATAGACGGAAGGCAGAATGGGGAAGGCGAGAGGTTGTGGCAGAGAGAAATTTTGGGGGACCGTAATTTCCGAACATTTTCCCCGGCGGCAGGGCGCGCCCTGATGACAAACTATCGCTTTTTGTATAAACAAGGCTTCAATTTCAGCCCAAACGGCCGCTTATTCTGCACTTTGTCGATTTTTCGGAACTCCAGCATGATGAAGTAGTCGTTCAGAAGTTTCTGGAATGAGGATTTTACTTCCACTAGCTCTTTTGTTTAGACAACGACGATAAAAATGGGCTAAATAGAATAACAGACTAGAAAATCAACTCGCCTTTTCAGTTCGT